CCGTTGCCCGACCGGCGCGTCGCGCCGAAGCCCGGCGGCGCCGCGGCGGTCTCGTGGTAGAGGCCGCCGCCCGCGGCGCCCGCGGTGTTGTCGGCCAGCGACGTCGCGGCGCGCGCGGGCACGACGAAAGGCTTCGACGCGACGGTGCCGTTGACAAAGTCCGCGCCGTCGAGCGCGGTCTCGACGCCGCCCGCGCGGACGGAGATGATCGCGCCGTCGAGGCCCCGTCGGAGGTGGAGGTCGTACGCGGAGAGGACGTAGTCGCCGGGCGGCACGCAGAGCTGCTGGATGTACACTAATTGCCCGGAGATCCACGTCTCCGGGCCGACGACGTGGAACCCGCCGGACGACGCGATTTCGAAGAACCGGTTCGCCTCGAAGCGGAACTGGTTGCAGCCGCAGCCGCCGCAGTCGAAGCCGTAGTCGGTTTCCAAGACGTCGCAGTCGACGTTGACGATGTCGCAGGACGGGCCCCCGTAGTCCCAGTGGCTCGGGCAGGTGCCGCTCGTCGCCGTCGCCGTGTCGACGACCACGGTGAGGAGCGCGAACGGCGCCGCGCAGCCGCGGAGCGCGGGCCCCCAGATGCCGTCGTCGAAGATCGTCGGGTCCGCGACGTGCGTGGCGCCCGACGTGTCGAAGACGTCCGGCGCGGTGGCGTTGCCGCCGTCGATGACGACCGTGGACGACGCGTCGACGCGGAGCGCGCCGCCGTCGCCGGCGGCGGCGTTGCCCTCGAAGGCGCACGCGTCGACGCGGACGTCGGACGCGACGGCGTCGAGGCCGCCGCCCGCGGCCGCCGCGTTCGCCTCGAAGCGCACGCCGGTCAGCCTGTGTGGAATTCAAATCTTCAACCCGACTTCAATGTGCGCATATGCGACAGTTTCGACGCAACCCCTTCGGCCGTGCTTCGAGAACTCGACGAGAGCAATCGATTCGTCCAAAAATCAGCCGAATCGACTTCGATTTGACCGAGCTAGAGAATTCTCAAGTTTGGTCGGGACCACCCAAACCAGTGGTTGATTTCCACACAGCGCTCAGCTTCAGCGGCAGCGCGTCGCTGTAGACGGCGCCGACGCCGCCGCCCGCCGCCGCGGCGTTGCCGACGAAGGCGCCGCCGACGACGGCGCCGCCCGCGGCGGCCCGCACCGCGAGGCCGCCGCCGGCGCCGCGCGCGGTGTTGTTGGCGAAGACGCAGTCCTCGGCGA